TTGTACCTTTTTCTTTCTTTATTTGCTGGTATCTTTACTGATGCACTGCACATGCCTCCAGACACAAATGTTTTTGATTTCTTTCTCTACAGCAAGCTCCTCTGTCTGGTATTGATTAAATATTAATAATCACTGTGACAACAGTCCCTGAGGCATTATGAGAATTCTGGGATTTGTTCCTTGTATGGGTATTGTACCTTGTTCCAAGATGATGCAACACATGACACAAAACATAGGGAAAAAAGGCCAAAACAAGATGGGCAAATGAAAAGTGTATTAAATCTAAGTTGAAAAAGGCCAAAACAAGATGGGGAAATGAAAAGTGTATTAAATCTAAGTTGGCTCTCATATCTTGGATAGTATTTAATCCTTTGTTTGAGTCTGTTGAGCAGCTTTTTTTTTAATGATTTGGAAAAGCAACATGTGCATTTTTTTCTCTTAATGTGACATTTAAAATGTTTTTAGAGATGAAGCTCTATTTCTGATGTCAAACTGTTAGTTTTAAACATACATTAAGATTTTTCCATCATGACATAAATAATTCTACTCTTTTTGGGACTGTGAGCTCTGCAGTCCTATCAGAACACATGTAGAAACATTGAGACTAACCAACTTCATACCTGTCCAGAAACTACTTTACTGTACAACATGTGTGCACAGAAAAACACCAGGTTTTTACTCACAACAAACCAAGACTCACTAAATCAGTCTTACTTTCAGATCTGGGCCGTTGCAGTTTAGACTCATCCCACACTCGTCTGTGATCTCTGTGATCTCTGACAGGTCGTCATCTTCAAACTCGTCCAGGCTAATGTCATGAGTCAGCCTAGTTGAAAGACAAGAAGAGGGAAAAATAAATGTAAATCATTTAGCAAACTTGCACATAAATAAAATATTTACACCTGTGCAAACCGTAAAATGTTGGAAAGCACTATGTAGTTAAGGGTGGTGTGTATTGGCAAGAATCTGGCGATACGGTACGTATCACGATACAAGGACAACGATTACATTACAATACATTTAGCAGACACTTTTATCCAAAGTGACTTACAATTTGGGCCAGTCAAACAACAATAAAGCTGCAGTAAACATACAAAATACCAAAATACTGTAGATAAATAATAATAAATAATTATTATTACTATTAAAAATCCAGTCATAGTAGGTCATAGAGTAAGAAGTGCATGTTAGATGTTAGTGGTAATGTTAGATATGATATATTGCGACATCCCACAACAATTACATTGTAGGAAAACTGTCAGCATAGTAAACACACAATGCTGTTACATGCTTAGCATCAAGTCACTAAAATTGGAACAGAGGAATCTAAATTTGTAATCGCTTGAGAAGAAATAAAAGCAAATGGAATAAACCAATAAAGAAGAAGAAATACAGTGCTGTAGAATATTGATACAATAATGTGAAATGAAATTTAGCAATATTTTAGTGTATCCGTATTTTCCTAGTAATAAATAAAGACCACAGAAAATGGTTTGCGGTACAAACTGTGGTACAATATTCAAGTTAACAGGTGGAGATGCTAAACTTTCAAGGCATAATGCCTTTTATTTAAAAAAAAATATACAGGACAATACTTAACCTAATGACCCAATCCACAAAGAGTATAATTTATCAACCAATGAATCCACAATCCACAAAGAGTATAATTTATCAACGTTTAATCTAAACAAACATGAGTCTATACAAAAAATTGTATTTGTATTTTACAAGAAACAGTGTCAGGTCTTGAGGGAAAAGAACATCTGTTGAGTTACAAGCAGAGAAGCCCTTGTCTTGTCATTCTCACCGTTGCAGGATTCATTATATCATTTATCACTGTTGTTCTCTCACTCAGCAATCATGTCCATTTTTTAATCTCTTTACCAGGCCTGCAGGACAGAGCAGCCAGAGGCAGAGCAGGAAAATGTTATTATAGAAAGGTAGTGGAGGATGACAACAGCCAACAGCCACACAACAGTCTCAGTGATTTGGTGAACCTAGAAAGTCATAATTCCCTGGCTGCTGCAGAAGGTTAATGTTATTTCTGGCTATGCAGACACTGCAGCTGCTTCCTCCTTGAAAACTACACAGCTGTGTGACTGTCTTTAGCTATCACACATCACACAAAGTGAATGGGGGTTAAGTAACCCAGGATGGAGCACCTACCGTGTGTGCTGCTTAAGAAGGCAGTAAATGGTATGTTACATTCTCTCCATATAACCAGGCCACATACAGAAGCTGCAAAAATGTGGGGAGTAACATTAAAAAAAGCTGATCTATTTGTGTGTGTTCTTGAAACACATATTCCAATAATGTGGCGTGTATATAATAACCATTTAAAATTTGGCAATTTAAAGTTATACCAACATAATAACAACCAAATTTGGCAATTTAAAGTTATACCAACAGTCCATTGTCCTATATAAATCTAAGTACTGATTTTTTTCTTCCTTGCAAACTTACAAAACAATAGAAATATTCCACCAGGTCCCATTCAGGACTATTTTTGTTTGGCAAAAATAGCAAGCTGATCTGTTTACTACAAATGTAATTTACTACCATGCTGACAGAATGTTTGAAAGGTACTAAAATCAATATACTCCACAAAATATTCGCCTCACTTACATGAAGGACAAAGAGGAAGGAAAAAAAATGCATGGACAGAGAATAGGCTGCAAACAAGATGTCAAAGAGTCCACCAGCCTTCAGCAGGGACTGCTACTGTGAACAATATTGGGGCTTTATGAGGAAAAAACTGGAAGTAACGTAAAGGTTGTAAAAGGAAGTGACATTTTGACTGTAGGTCAGTCCCTAAAGACAGAGGTGGAGTGGTGGAGAAAAAAAGGGTGGGGGAGGATGTTAAATGATGGAAGATAAACCACAGGACAGTATGACCCTGCTGCTGCTGCTGCTGCTGCTGAAAGAAACTACACTTGAAGGCCCTCAGTAAAGCTTTGGATGGGAGATACACATTATTAAGAACGTATGAACCAGTTGCAAAATATGTCTTTAAAAGTTTATTTTTTCCTGAATTAAGTTGTACATGAATCCATTAACAGCAAATATCAAACTCTGCTAACTGAATGTTGACCTCACTCAATTCACTCAACAGTGTCAAGAAGGTTCTAAAGTTTAAAACTCACTGCATGGAAATATGAGTTCTGCAGTCAGAGTGAGAGTCAATGATGCTTCAGTCCGTCAATACAACACATTCTTATCACTTTAGCACTTTTTATTTGACTCTGGTGCGAGTTACAAGAGCTTTTACAGCAAAACCTGTGGCAGCATCAACATAGACCATGAGACAACAAAGTCGACCCCAGGGTCAGCACTCATCAAGTTTGTAACAGTAAAAATACCATGCAAAATTCTGGCCAAAGGAAATTAAAGCATTTCTCATTGCTACACAAAAGATTAGGCTGGGAATGCAATAAAAACAGACCCTGTAAACCACAAAAATAATATATAACCAATCTGAACATGTAGCAGTAAAAAAGGAAGACCTCATCTCAGCCATTTTGCAGATGATCAAAACATACAGTATCTCTGCCCTTGGTGTATTTGATTACAGCTTGAGACAGAACACCATCTTGTTACTGTATCCTTGGGTTAAAAACTGTGTTGTTGTTATTGTCATCATTCTGACATATACGACGTCACTGATCAAAAAGTGCATGTAGAGGACAGACTGTCTACAGAGACGTCTATGCCATAACCCAGTGTCATCATTCCTCTAATCGTGCCACAGCAGACGAGCCACAGGCCGCCAGAGGAGCAGTAGCGTTACATCAATATGTGAATGTTCAGTAAGCAACTACTGTAGCTATCTAAAGGAAAACACACAAGGAACTTATTTTAACTTGCAGCTGATTTATAACTTAAAGGCAATATTTAAAAAATGTTGTTAAAAATCTATCTTGAATTGGAGAACCATAGTTACCAGGAACCTGATGGTTCCTAGTAGATGGTGGATTATGTTGCAAAGTGACACAAGAATCTTATTATTGATTCAGTGGTGAGTCCCCTCAGACTGTTCCAGAAAAAAATACAATCACAGTTCTGTTTGTCTGTAATTTTAACTGGCATCAAAACCTAAATTTGGCAAGAAACTGGAGGAATATTTGCAAAGTTAAGAATACCTTAAAGGCCATGCGTAGTAAAACATCCCACAAAGTAATCCTTAGTCATTTCATTAATTTACTGACACTGTAAGGCACTGCTGTGCTGCCCTCTGTCCAGGTTTGTCTCCAAACACCGAGCAGGGGTCTGGTACTGTGCCATGGATTCATAGATGACAAGAAACAATTAAAGGTTACATTATGATTTGTATGGCAAACAAATACTTTGATCTGCTCCTCTTTTCAGCATTTCACTTGGAGAAGGTTTTTAAATACTAACCCTTGAAGTAACTTAAAATGTTTATAGACCAATGACTTAGTGGATGTTTAGATTACATTCTCTTATAGACTTAGTGGATGTTTAGATTACATTCTAACCTCTCTACAATTGTCTGTGTTTTTGAGGACATGGTAAAATAAAAATTGTGTCCTGGTTCAAAAGCTTTTTCATTGTTAATATTGAAACAACAGCAGTGAGTAACAGCAATGCATGATACCTGATAGTTTATAAAACAATAATATAATATGATTTAATACCATGAACAGACCAGTTGTTTTGTCATGTTCACCCTGCCAGTAATTTCATTTAAATCCAACAATACCATGTTACATTATTGGTTTGTTATTAAATTACCTTTTGACACAGACAAAATGACCTCATGCTCTGGTCTTAATGGCTCCACTGAGATCATTAGTAATAATCTAGCAGTAAGATGTATTTGGGTACAGCTTTGATTGTCAACTGCCACTGAACTCTAACTCACTAAATAAAATAATTTTAGTTTAAACTGATTTTTGTCTTGTACTTTTCTATCATTCGCCCCATTTACATTTATAAACAGTGCAAAACAGGTGGATACTGTGACTTTATGGAATGCTGGATAATGCATTTAAATGGAAAGGAACAAGGAGCTGCAAAAATATTTCTGACCAAATGTCCATCATTTCCTTTCCCAGCAAATTCTACTGCAAAAGCTTCTTTCCTGTTGGTTCTGTTGTTATGGTTAGACACACGTGAAGCACATTTGTTGTCACAGCAACTGCATCTCTACCCTGGTCAGTATATTTTTGCCTCATGTCACCCCCAATAATTCACACTTTTAGTCACCCACAGAGGTTACACGGCTGCACGCTGACTGCCATTCATCAGCTTTGCCCTCCTGCAAGGACAGCAGCTGAAAAAGGAGCAGGATGGTCCCATCTGATGCATCACACAGAAAAAAAAGAAATCCCCTCTTAAAGTCACCTGCTCCACGACAACCAATTTGTCAAGACATAAATGAATTCACTTTCCCCAGTCACACCACTGTGATGATACATATGTAGTACCTGTACTGTGACGTGTTTTTCCAACTGGGTCTCCTCTTCTCCTGCTACTTTTCAACACAAACATCAACCGGCAACCCCAGCTGCACACACTAGCTCTCAGCTAAAAACACAACCGCTTCCATAACCGGCTCTCCTTCAAGGGCATACGCCAAAAGGTTTAGGATGCGAGAGGATATAGATGACATGTAGCAGCAGAAAACATGTTAGCTTTTACACACGCTCACAAGGTCAGTGTCATACAGTGACAGTGTGCTACAAAAAAAAAAAAAAAAGGAAAAATAGGAAAAAAGAAAAAGACAGAGATACATCCTACCATTTCTCCCACTGGTCCTCCATCCAACCCTCTCCTCCATCCCCTCCTGAATCCATACTGTAAGTGAGGAGGGCATACACAGCCGAGAAGGAATGGGTGGGTTAGAAAGTGAAAGACGGAGGGAGGAGTGAGCAGGAAAAGAGAGTGGAGTGAGAGGGAGGAGGGGTGAAGCTTTTGCAGGTCGATGGATTCCCAGCCCTGCTGCTGCCGCTGTTCATCCCGAGGAGGAAGAGAGGAAGAGAGAGAGAGGCGGAGAGGGAGCGTTAAAGAGAGGAAGAGAGCTAGCATTTGAAGCGGAGGAACTGAAACGGCCACAGAAGAGTGTGCTGTTATATGATCTACTCCTCTCTTTTGGCTCTAATTTTATTCTCCCCATCTCTTTCCTCTCTTCTTGATGTTTACTCATTCCTGTGTGCATCAGACTTACTACATCACAGGAACCTGCTGGTGTAAGCAGAATTACCCACGCTATGGTGGGTCTGAAGAAGAGGAGCATCAGTACAGAGAAACACTCCCACAACTCTCTCTCTCTTTCTCTCTCTCTCTTTTACTCTATTTCCTTCAGCCAAATACCCCTGTGCTTAATAATTCAAAAGGCCATTGGATCTTTTTTCCCCATCATTCTTCTCTCTCTCGTCTCCTGCTTTCACTCCAGACATTCACCTTAGGGAGAAAATATCTATGTCATTAAAATCTGTCAACTTTCCTGGCTTTTTAATCTCTATGTTTTACCAATAAATCACAGTGTATTTATATTACTACTGTGTTCATGTGTTCTCTATGCATTCTACGAAACCACAATATGCTTTATGCACTAGAAAAGACACTACAGGACAAGTGGACAGTGAAGGAATTGCAGGTCCATATATGCATTTAATGATGTATGCTGTGGAGTTGGTGTTCTCAAAAAAGACAACTATTAAAACAGGACTCCTGTCAGAAAAAGCATTAATTTTAAACGTGAAAGCTAAAAAGCTACTGCTACTGTTTCAATTTACTTTTCCCCAAAATATGTTTTAATTTGTTTTATTATATATATATCCAAAGACGTATAATATGTGAGAATAGGGTGGAAAATGTTGGGAAAAAAACCCACACTTTTTCTACTTTGTTTTACAAAATAACTGCTGTCTTCAAAATAAGCTGTGACTTGGTCAAGAGATTGTTTTTTTTTATTATTTATTTATTTTATTTATTTCCATAAGCTCTACACTAAACCTCGTGTAGATATGTCATATCATCAACAGGATCATCAACAGATGCTTACTGCCTCAGAGAGAATCACAGAAACGTAGCCTTCAGCAGAATCTGCCTCGTTGGCAAATTTGATCATGAGCAGTAAATTACTTCAGGTAGTGGTGGGGGTTGGACTGAAACCAGGACAGTTACAGTTTCATCTCTGTCAGCAGCTACTGCTGGTACAAATCCAATCGGCTCCAATATCTCTGTCTAGAACATGTGAAAAAAAGGTGATGTACACAGACCAGAAAAAGTATTCTATCTTGCACATTTCTTTGTATCTATACAATATCAGTGTATTGTGACAGTGAACTAAAATATAAGTTTAATATATTTTGGTCTAAATTTAAAAAAATGTTTCTTATTAGTGTTTAATATTTATATTTTGTCTTTATGTATTGAATTTAATTTTGAATTTAATGTTTTGTTTAAAAAAACTGAAAGTGCACATAGCTGCTCAATTTATGTATTTTTTAAAAGAATATTTGAAGATTATTATTTTCAGTTATACAGAAATATGTTTGGTTCTCCCATATATCTCTACAGTATGTGCTGCTTAATATATGATCGCACAAACAAATGTGTTTCTTGGGGAAAACCCTGCTGTGTGATTTGTGTAACCTGTTCTTTTTGCACCAGTCCTCATTTCTCACATTGGGCTTCAGCCTTATTACATTCCTTTTACATCTTATACCCGCTGACTCTGTAGTGTCCCTTTTTTAAGCAGAAAGCAATAGGTTGCGTAGGATCCTGGACCCTGAGTGGAGTACACTGTACATGAGCTGTTGACCCAGGTCTGACTTTTCCCTTTCAAGTTCCATACTGACATTTTCAGTGTTCTTCTTCCACTATTTTTTTTTTGTTACCATGTTGAATCTTCAGCTGCATTTCCTAAAATAATTCACCCTGCTGTTTATTTGCTGATAATCACAGATTTCCTTTAAATAATGATCAGATATAAGCATTTTAATTATTTTATATATTTCACAGCTTAAAGGTATTGGAGTTTTTTTTTTTACACAGTTGTCATTTGAATGAGTGGCTGGACCAACTAACTACAGTATATACAAACTGACAACCATAGAATTGGGAGTCCTGACTCCTAACAAGATGAGCTATAAAAAGCTGAAGTTTGATCAAACACTGGTGAAGAGACTGTGAAGACAGTCTGGAAAATAAAGCTGTCACTGTGTTCAGCTCAGGCTAATGAGACGGGGTGGACTGTGCATAGCACTCTCTCTCTCTATCTGTGTGTGTGTGTGTGTGTGTGTGAACATGACAGAGATATGCTGAGATACTCTAACAAGCTCTCTCCAATGCACTCTTTGGCTATCCCATTTGCCCTTAACTGATAGATCTGCAGAGATATAAAATTAATCTGGCAAGTAAGTGATTTTAATAACTGACTGATTAAGTTCTCCTTTATTAGTCACTTAATCAATCTGAAATGCAAAACAAATGTGTAAAATGTCATGTAATGTGTCCTAATTCTCAAAATGAAATTCTAGGGGACTGTACTACTTGGTTTGCTTTTATAGAGGAACAAAACAAAAAAATCACATAAGAACTACAAGCAGCCTGACAGGCAGTCTGGGAAGAGTGTAAGAATGGCATGTTTTGTATAATTTTTAATAGAGTGAAAATTGTCTTCTTATAGGATTAAATATGAGACACAATTAAGCAGGAAGACATCGTGACACTGCTGCGGGAAGGAGATGAACAAAAGCTCTCCCAGGCTCTGGTGTCGTGTGAGTCCTTTGGGACCAGACACGCCCAAACAAACGCTCACAACACTGACTGAACACAAGTCGCCGCCAACGCTGCAGCAGCAGCAGCAGCAGCAGCAGCAGCAGCAGCAGCAGCAGCAGCAGCAGCAGCAGCAGCAGCAGCAGCAGCAGCAGCAGCAGCAGCAGCAGCAGCAGCAGCAGCAGCAGCAGCAGCAGCAGCAGCAGCAGCAGCAGCAGCAGCAGCAGCAGCAGCAGCAGCAGCAGCAGCAGCAGCAGCAGCAGCAGCAGCAGCAGCAGCAGCAGCAGCAGCAGCAGCAGCAGCAGCAGCAGCAGCAGCAGCAGCAGCAGCAGCAGCAGCAGCAGCAGCAGCAGCAGCAGCAGCAGCAGCAGCAGCAGCAGCAGCAGCAGCAGCAGCAGCAGCAGCAGCAGCAGCAGCAGCAGCAGCAGCAGCAGCAGCAGCAGCAGCAGCAGCAGCAGCAGCAGCAGCAGCAGCAGCAGCAGCAGCAGCAGCAGCAGCAGCAGCAGCAGCAGCAGCAGCAGCAGCAGCAGCAGCAGCAGCAGCAGCAGCAGCAGCAGCAGCAGCAGCAGCAGCAGCAGCAGCAGCAGCAGCAGCAGCAGCAGCAGCAGCAGCAGCAGCAGCAGCAGCAGCAGCAGCAGCAGCAGCAGCAGCAGCAGCAGCAGCAGCAGCAGCAGCAGCAGCAGCAGCAGCAGCAGCAGCAGCAGCAGCAGCAGCAGCAGCAGCAGCAGCAGCAGCAGCAGCAGCAGCAGCAGCAGCAGCAGCAGCAGCAGCAGCAGCAGCAGCAGCCGCTGAGTCCCAGCGTCGCCACCAGCTCCGCTCTGCATCACTCAGTACAGCAGTAAAACAGCCAGACACCCCGCCCACCTATCGTACTTACGCTCCCACCTCCAGTGCATTTACCTGAAAGTTGCCGGGGACCTCAGTCGGATGTTGCGGCCGGACGGCGGGGGGCTGCTTTTTCGTTGGCTCCTTTCCGCCATGCCAAGTCGCTCTCATTCCTTCTCCTGCTCCTGTTCGCAGCAGCGGCCGCTCGGCTCTGGCACAGACGCACACCTGAGGAGCGAGGCTGCCAGAGTGTGCTGCCTTCGCGGACCGTAGGGAAATCTACAACTCAGCTGTGCCAAGCCATCATACGTACTGTAGACTGCCTCAGTACCTTTCAAAATGTTTGTATTAACCAACGAAGTATACCTTCTGGCAGTCAATAAATAATGGTTTTCAGAGCAATTAATTTAATTTGTTTAATATTCCACAGCACACCTGATGATGCATAATGCATGCAAAGAAACAGTGGTGGGGAATCACTGTACTAGACCATAGACGTAGAAATTAAGTTTCTTTACCGACAATACGAAAATAGTTGGTATATTATTTTTAAAAACGCAATTAACAATGAATATTCATTTAGTATTGGACTTAAACCCTAACTGCAAAAATCCTTCTTGATTTAAAGATTTTCCTATTAATATAACATATACACAAAAATCGGTAGAAACACTGTATCTTACCATCTACATATAACAGCTATTCCCGGGGTACTACTTCAGCATACCTGCAGTTACTTCAAAATAAAAGCATATAGACCATTTAAAGAAGTCTAGTTTTTGCTTGTTTGTTTTACCGCTGTATGTTGAACTTCATCATTGAAGAAAAAAAAACCCCACAATAGCATGGATAGAGAGTGTAAATAATGAGAGGCAGGCAGAGATTATTCAGGTAGCTGTGACACAGAAACACCAGCAGAGGGTGACAGTGTACAGCGTATGCAACTAGAAGCAGTTTTGGTTCTTTGAATCACTACCGGAAGTAAAACATGTTTGTTACGTTTTCTTTACAAGGGTTTATTGATAAGCTACACAATTATTTGAATTTTATTTTTTTAAACATGTTTATTTGTTTGCGTGTTCAAAACATAATCTTTATGCTACTTTACAATGTCATAAATTAGCACAGTGAATATGCAGTACCATGGACAATATCAATTGCAATAGGTACACACAGACACACAAATAATAACACAGCTCTAAATAAATGCATGTACTTATTCAGGTCAGGTAATTCAAGAATATTTATCAACATTAGCGGGTTTTTTAAAAAAGACAGTCAAGTGTGCTATGAGGTAGCAGTAAGAATCAAAAATACTTTTATAAAAAGGCAGAAAATAATGAATTTAGATTTTTACATATTTAATAAATGTAATTTAAGGCCTTAAATCTTCTGTCTTTATGCACATGTGGTTCATATTTCAGAAGTATGCACTTCTTCTCCTCTGTTCTAGCACCCACCCAGCAGGGTTAATGTCTAACTTTAACAAATCCAGCACCCAGGGGTCCTGCTTTGCACCTCTTATAAACTCTTCCATGTTGATATGACCTGTGGGATAAAATAAATAAATAAATAAGAGAGCAATGCAAAAATAATAAAATTAAATGTAATGTTTCTGGTGTGAATGTTGATGTTACCATCTCCATCCGTGTCGACGGCCAGCAGTAGTCGATCAACAACCTCATCCACGGACTGTTGTACCACACTGGAGTCTGTCTTTGTTCCTTTCTTCACTTTATATATGCTCTAAATAAAATAATTATTACATATATAAAATATGAAGTGATTAAAGTCCGTAATAATTCATTATACCAGTCATTTTAAGGTTAAAAATGCAGTTAATCATGTAAAGCATTAGCAGTGCTGAGCCTAAAGGCTAAAGGATGGTAATACAATTATCTTTATTAAGGTCCTAAATACTCTTGTTAAAGGATGGATTTAAATACAGAGGATAAATTGTGTTCATCTGTTTGTTATGTGTATTTGTACATTTACAATTTTGTAAATGTACAAACTTTCCTGTCTGTTATTAATTCATTTAAAGTCTGTTATTCTGTGGCTTACAATTTTCTGTTTTTAATAGTACTTAAGATTCAGAAATATATATAAAAACGTTCTGTAAACAACTGTTTGTAATGTTTTAAAGATAAAGAATAAGAGTGGAGACTCACATCAATAATTGAGCGAAGTTCATTCCGGTCCACGTAGCCATTACCATCTTTATCGTATACCTTGAATGACCAGCGTAATTTATGTTCCAGGTCGCCCCTAAAAACCAGATTCAGTGCTGCCACAAACTCCAGGAAATCTATAGTATTGTCCTGGAAATGGAAAACAACTCGGTTATATAGTGTGTACCATGTGAAGGGAGGTACATAAAGAAACACCAGCAGCTTATACTCACTCCATTAGTGTCAAAAGCACGAAACATATTTTCTGCATAGTCAGAGGCCTCGCCCGTTGGCTCCACACCAAAGAAACGCTTGAACTCGTGTAGGAAAAGTTGTCCACTCGGGCACTCCGTGGCAAATCTTTTATACATATCCTGAAGAGCTTTCACATCAATTTCTTCATTGTTCTCTGTCTGATGTGCCTGCCCCATGGCTGGCCCCACTTGTACTGCGTCAGTCCATACTCTGATACCCACAGGATTTTCTCTTTGCACGGACGTAACCAGACTTTGGTTTAAAGTCTCACCTCTAGAGTTTCTTTTAATAGACCTGTGGAATCCCAAAGGTTTACTTTGTTTCTGAGGCTGGTGATTACGGTAGCTCCAGGATTACCTTGGTGGGGGTTTCCTTTCTAGGTAATTGGTTTGTTACTGCATGTGTCCAGGCCAAAGACAGGAGTGAGAGCTGTATATGTTATTCTTTCAAGCTGCTTCCTTTAGTTAGTAAATACCGTAAATACTCAAAATCCTGAAGAGAAACAATGAGGACAAAGATTTCTGACCAGTACGTGATAAAATCCCCCATTTTTATTTGAGAAAATTATGGAATTTTGAAACACATCATTCCTCATTAGTTCAAAGCCTGTCATACTGTAACTGTGCCCTGATTCTGTATCCACACGTCTCTTTTGCATTTTTGTATATCAAAGTCTGCTCTGATATACACACTTGGACACTCAGTAGTGCTGATTTGGAGTAGGCGTATCAATCTCATCTGATTAGACTGCATTGTAACTGATAGGCACAAATCCTACACTTAAGATCTATCCAAGTGTCCAACCTCAACACTTGGTTCCAGCACAGTTGGCAACAGTAATGCTGTTGGTATTAATGTATTCTACAGTAGTAAATAAACTACTGTGTCGTTTGTTCTCACTGGGGTAGAAAAGAAAAAAAAAATCAGTATACAGTAGCTTTTTATAGAATGCAAAAAACAATTTAGTATTATTTACTGAGTGGGGAGATCATCTGTATATACTTCTCTCGAATGTATACAGTGATTTTATCCAGTGGATTTTGCAACTGGCAGAATTATAATTAGTACTAGAACAAAGGAACTGCATTAAAACCATACCATACATGTATAATGTTGAATTGCTTTCAGTCTGTTCTCTCCTGGTCAGTTTATTTACACTGTTTTACATTTATCAATCTCTGAAAGGTGATTAGGTTAGGCTCACTAAGAATAACGTACAGGAGGCGGTCTAACAGAATCCAGTCTGTGAAGTCCAGCCACTCATTTTTAAATTTCCCCTTGATTAACCAAAACCTCTAGCCTTCAGATACATGTACATATATTTTACATGTAAATCTGTATACAAAAAAATTACAATTACTTTCTTCGTAAAAAACACATTGATTCCTTCCTAACTTTTATAAAGAAATATACTGTAGTGCTGCAGTCTTAAATAAATACATTTTCAATTAATATGTGAAATGAACAGCACGACCAGCTCAAGTATGGTTGAATGAACAGATATGGCCATTAGCACGATGAAAAGAATAAACACCACACAATATTATTATATCATATTGAAATTCTTACATAAACTACATATGGACCGAAATGATCTATAGGTATAATGAATTAAAATAATCTATAGATTGAAAGGTGTGTCTCTGTATGAGCGAGAGAGTGAGTACTAATTAATAGTAGTTCATAATCTTTACGGTACAACTATTCACAGCTCTCTTTTCCATGTTAGTGCCAGACGATGTAAGAACATTACCGTAGTTCTCTGTTTAGGTATTGGATTAGATGACACTCTTACTTAATCCACCGGTGTCAAAAACACCTAATCAGATTAGACACTTGACAGACTGACTACCCTCAGCCAGGTCCCTGTGACCTCTCCTCTTTCTTCAGCTGCTTTTCCTTTCAATTTGCAATGTACGCAATGCACAGTAAAATTAACTATGCAAGAAAGGTTTTATTATACCTGGTATTTAGTAACTGATTCAACAAATCACCAGCTGAAAGAATCATGGGTGTCATAGAAAGAACCTGAGGTGATGAGGAAGAGAATTAATATATCACAATTCTATAAGATGTGTTTTATTTTAAACTATCCCTGGTGGCATAGATACACAATATTCATATTTTATATATCCATACTTATAATTGTATCATGAGGGAGCCTAAATATTATTTAAAAAATAGGATTGTGACAAGTTTGTTGGTTGCACACTAGATGGCAGCGTTGAATTTTCCGTAAAGCCTTATAGCTGCAGATGCAGTGTGACGTGGTTTTCAGGATCGAGTAACCAAGATTACAGGAACACAATAGAGCAATGTAAATATTCATAAATAATCACAAGCATAAATTTGAAATCTGTGACTTGTATTCTGTAGTGTATCTCCACTTTAAACAAGTTTATATCTTATGACCAAAAAGTTGAATTTATAGAGGGCCTTGATAAAGGTTTTTGTTTTTCTTTTATTCAACAGCAGAGGATGAACTGCCATTTTCTAACTATTACTCAATGGTTTAAGAGTTGATTCTTATGGATAAAGTTTTGCAAATTCTTTTAAATTAGCATTCAGAGAGCGGTGTCTTTTTATTGGACCTTAAAACCTCAGCCAATATTTGAAAAGGAAACCAAAACTTAAATCCTCCCAAAAAAACCCTGTTCCAATCAGGACGTGATCTGAGAGCGCCTGCATCTGGCACTTGGCCAGAAAGAATTAAACATGGTTGAGGGTTTTTGGACAGAGATTCATTGACTTCCAGTATGACGTCAGGATGCGCAAGGGGTGGAATAGGATATAAATGAAACGGCATATTTTCTCTTCTGAAGGTAGACAGGTAGATAGACTGCATCCAAACAGGAAACCTTAAAAATAGGTCTGCTAAAATAACACCACGTCAGAAAATGGAAGAGGCACAAAAAAAAAAAAGATAGTCAGACAAGTAGAATGTCAGAGAGAAGAAGCACAAAGACACTGAACAAGGTGTTCAAGGGTTAGTGAACAAAAACACACAAGTCATTTAGATTCATTTAGAAAAGCCAGATATTAAAAAACAAAACAAGAAGACACACATGACACGGAAATGAAATGTTAAAAAAATGACAGGTAATAGTCCTGAATTTAATAGGAGTAGACAAAGGAAGTTTGTAAGTTATTTTCATATGTGCATCACTGTGCCAGGGTTTCTCGTTGCAGTGATTACCAACTACTGCGTTGTGCCATCATCAGCTGTGGTTTGTAAATTATTTGACGCAAAAAATGTTTCTTCATTAGTCCATGACAGTGACGAGCAAAAACATGAACATTAGTGTAAGTTAAAACTAATGTTAAAACTAAGTATAGTGTATTTTTGTTGCAAATGTGTTGCAGATAAGAAAGCTGAGAAGGTGATTGTTATTATGCGGACAACACACAGAAAACAATCAATAAATGCATCACTAGGCCACTTTAACTCCAGCACTTATCTGTAATCACTGTAAAAAATCGTTTAGTAGTGTTGTAATGTCATGGAGTCTCTTATTTATCTGCTACTGCAAAAATAAATAAGACAGTAAAGTGATCAAACTGTGAAGTGCAGCACATTAAAGAACTCTTTGATTGGAGTGCAGCTCTAACATTTATTTAGTATTATAATCTTCCCCTTTACTGAATCTAAGTGTGGTTTTAATAGCAACAGTGAACACATTGGCACATGTATTATCTGGAATAGTAACATATTGATATTTACAGAGTTGGTAAGAACTGTGGCTTATTTCTCTGACATATAATAGGTCAATAAGAGACCTGCAGATGGATTAGACTTGAAAAAAAAAAGAAAGCGTCTGCCCTGAAGAAACAAAACTGTATAGGTAACATGATCATTCACAAAACACTTGTTATCATTCTGTATCCCTGGTCAGCGGTAAGAATGGTTGTATGGATTTATGGCAGATCAAAGGTGCGTCTCCTCTTCGATGTGAATCTGTTCTCTTTCCTCTGCAGCAGATATTTGCACAAACTGAAATGCCCACAGTCAAGGAACGCTCTGCCCTTTTACCTCATCATTAACCTTTGTCTACTCTTATAAGATTCAGCGACGTGCCTTGGTGAATATTGATCACATGGCTAAGCAGACCAGTCAGGAGATGGTTTGTGTTTGTCTTTTTAGCTGTTTTAATTTCATGTTAGTTTCAATAAACATTTTCTGACCCTAATGTATGTTATATTTTAATAATTAATATCTAATTATTATACAAATCTAAAAAACAAATGCAGGACAGAAGTACTGTATATAGAAACACACAATATCAAGATTCTGTTTTCCATTAGATAAAAAAGTACATTTACGTTTGCAGTAATCTGTATCACAGTGTTATGATGGTATGGTGTAAAGCAGATGTAATGTCTGGTTTACTGTTTGGTATTTAGGCACTTCTATATCTGACAGCTATACTGTCTGTTTATAGATAATAGTTTGACAAATACAAAGTCGTATTTCTGTGCATTAGGGGATTGGCCCTTTTACAAGCTTCATTTATCAGATTAATTGGTGCCCGGCTGGCAGCTGCTGCTGTCCATTAGATTCTCGAGGTATTTTAGTCATGAAATATACACACACACCTCAAAACAGTAACAAAGCAGGTAATGTCCCCAAAGGGAGATCCCTCAGCTGCTTCAGCACAGGGAAAACAACATAAAGTGGAGTGACAAGTATGTCATACCTGTCCTATTGAATCATGAGTGAGGAAAAATGTGTCATTGATAAACATCTGCCTGTATTCATTTGCTGATAGGTCACTGTAAATATAAATAAGGAATCAATCAATCCAGCAGCTAAAGTTAACCTGGAGTCATGTTAAGGATTAAACCTGTTTACATTGCTTCAAGCTCAAGGCTCATCAGCGTGCACAGGACAAATGAATAAATTCAGCAGTGACAGCACAAGAGGACAGTCTGTCTGCAGCACTTTGGCCTGAGGAGAGTTCTGGCCTGCCATGAAAAGTTAACTTGACCAAACAAACTGTAGCAAGAAGGGATTTTTGACAGACCTGTCAGCGGCTGACACCATAGAAATTCCGAGGCTTCATCTCTCTTGCTGATCATCCATCCATCCATCCATCCATCCATTTTATTTGTTGCAGGGGAAGGGAAAGCTGAGGACAGTCTATTTCCCAATCCATCAGTAGACCACACATAAAGACAATGAACCATTCACATCCATAAACATGTTGTCTGAACAACCTAATCCCTAATGTCAATGTTTTTTTGGGAGTAAATCACTAACTGAAGAAAAACCACACAGACACGAAGAAAAACCGGAGTAAATCACTAACTGGAGAAAAACCACACAGACACGAAGAAAAAAATCCAAACGTGTTACCATATAGGACAGCATGCCAATCACATTAGCCACTGTGTGGTCCCCATGCTTAGTCACTTGTTACAGTGTGACTTTTTGGTTTGTTTCTTTTCCTTTTTTTTACTATACAACAATTAGCAAACCCAGCCACTAGGGGTGCAGGGTGAAATGGAAAACATTGATTTGCTATGGCAACCCCTGAAAAAAAGGGGACAAAGCCGAAAGGAAAAGAAGAAGTATACAACAGG